GTACTATAGGGATTATGGTTTAATCTAGTTAATACTGATACTATATTGGGAATAACAAATGAATTGGTGCTTATGTGCACTGCATATTTCTACTTGTTTCCTTGAATCACTTGTCTGTTGATCTGGGTTTCCTACATAACACCCAGCATAGATTTTTGTATGTGTGTAAGAAGGATGAGGTGAATTAGAGCTAGAAAATAAAATTTAAACTTTCTAGCCTTTCAATACACCTCCAGAACCTGTCCTAGAAAGCTCATGAAACAAAATAATTTAAAAGCAAGGATATCAACTGCTAAAGGAATTCAGATCTGACAGAGATTTTGTGAAAAACCCAACAGCAGGAAGGCAGGATGCACCCCAGGGCCAGGCATAGCCTCCCCTCCTGCTTTCTCACCTTTAACTTCTGGGACAGTACACTGACACTGACAGTCAGCCTCTAGTTCTGGCAACTCCCACTCACACAGAGAACTCCCCAGCAAAAACATCTGAGCTCCTGAGGACTGAGTTCAACAGTCCTATTATTTGATGAACAGATCACCTGAGAAATGAACAAGCTGAAGGCAGCTTCAATGCCAACAGATGCCTGCATTTAAAAGTTGGTCTCTTACCAAACACTTCCTAAAAACCCCACAAACCAACTCAAAATAACAAAAACCTCCAACTCCTTCAGGGTTGTATTCTTTGATTTAGAGGAAACCAGTGGAAACTTAAATTTGAATCTGACGTTTTGATAAGATCTGGGTGCAGAAGCCAAAAATATCTATGCTGCTAAGATAGTATGCTGCTTGTAGTGATAGTGACTGCACTTGAGCACTTGGTGAAAGTACCTGAAGATCTTTCCTCTTGTTTACTCTGAACAGCAAGGCTCAGAGCCAGTTTTCAGGGAAAAAACCCAAAGTGAATCTTTATTTTATTGTCCTACTAAACTCCTACATTACCTTGTCTTGCTGCTTTCCAAAAATGTGGAGAGATTTGACACACTGTAGCAACAACATCTGTAGTTTAAAAGTGAAATTGTTTGCAACCTTGTGATATCCCAACCATGAGGTTTGGGATAATCCTGAAGTCCCTAGGATGTACAATCATTTTACACACTGAGCAATTAAATCAAAATAGTCCATAATAATTTTTTCCAGACACAGCATTTGTTTTGAGGTTGTAGCCCAAAATACATGAAGATTATGTATTTTTTGGCTTCTGGAAGTGCATAATGACTCATGGATTGCTGAGGATTTTTTTCAGCACTTTTGTGCTTCCCACTGGTTACTTGTAATTCCTTTTTTTTTGTCATTATGACCTCTGACAGTGGCAGCTGGAAGGCTGAACATGGAGGAGGAAACTACTACAGAACTCCACCATATGCAGGGACCTCAACAGCTGTATTTTTTTTTTAATAACTTAACAATGAAACTACATATACACCCCTTCAGATAAGGTCTCCTGCAGATGCCAACAAGAGAAATGAAAACAATCATTCATGATGACAAATAGTTTTCACCTAGCAGCTTCCTTTCACATAGTGCCAAAGGAAAATGCTTGCATTTCCTCTGTTACAGAAAATGTCATGCCTCATTTCTTAATTACTCTACCCTCACCAACTGACTGGTCTCTCAGACAAAATAAAATGATAATTTTTGGTCCAAGTACACTTTAATGTCTACCCTTGCTTGGGTTGGCAGAGCTTGGCAGTGTCTGACTCTGTGATCTCTGTGAGAGGCATCACCAGCCAATGCCCTCCTGATGCACATGGAGTGCCTGGAGGTCAGGCTCCAAGCAAAAGTGACCCTCAAAACAGCATACGCATGAGGCAGCTCAGCATGAAGCTGTCCTTAAACACAGAGGACAAGGCAAACTGACCTGAGCCCTGCTGTTACACAGGAGCTGTAACTGTCCCTCTTTCTGCTCATTTGTTTCCTGAATGTAATGGGCCTGTCACGGCTGTAGTTATGAATTAATATAATTTTGGGAAAAAGTCCAAACCCCAAAGTACTTCATTTGCATTTGTCTACCACAACTATGACAAGTAGAGAATGTGTTCTTCTCAGCTTTGATTATGATGGCTGGCCTTGAATCCTAAAAAACATACATATCCTGTGTAGGCAAATACATGCACAAAGAAGCAGAAAACATAATCCAAAGAAGTCATGCTTTGACATTTTCTTTGATGAGATTTTTAGTTACTTGTACTACTGCTTGGAAAACCACAATGATCTCAGAGCAGTATTTTATCTCCATGTAGCAGTGTGCAACAAGATTATCACCAATGCTGTTCTCAGCAGCCTGTCGGCAGAAGTTGAATTTAGGATTCATTACATTTTAATATAGTATATGTAGGAAACAGACTTATGGAGGCATGTGATGTAACCTGTCCCAGACAGAAGTGCTCTAGATGTGATGCCAGGCCTTGGCATGGGTAAGGCACAAGGTCCTTTGAGTATCAATGGCAGACCCCTTCTCATATCCATGCACCAACAAAACAGATTTGTTTTCATCTTCTTCACATTGTTTCCTCCTGAAGGGAAACCAGAACAGGGTCCACTGTCTCATGCCCATTGCAGTGACTGCTTGCAAAGTATCTCAGTGAGTCCAGCAATGCTGCAGTATACCTTTCCACATGACACTTCCCTGAGCATGGAGTGCTTTTTTCCTCCCCAAGGAGTATGGTGTAAGAAGTGCCCTAATGCTGGGACCCTGCCTAGCACCCTGCTCTTTTACAGTGATGGACCACACTGGACACACAAGTCCTCAAAATGAGCAGCTTTTCACTTTGTTAATGCATACACCATTGCAGAGACTGTGATGCTGTCTTTCTTCTTCCCTAAGTGAAGAGCTGAGCACCAGATGCTTTGTCTTCTGTCAGGCAGGGCAGCTGAGGATGTGGAGTCTAAATAATAATAATAATAATAATAATAATAATAATAATAATAATAATAATTCCAAACAGAGATGGTATCTTGCTTTGCCTCATGGTATCTCTGCTGATAGAGCTTACCTCCTCCTTGTAGCTTGACTTCTCTTTACATTACTGTGGCTATAACCAGTCTTCTTTTAAACAGATATTTACTTCAGCAGCTGGAGCAGACAGATACTGTAATCTGTCCAGCCAGCAATGGAGGATGAGGGGCTCATAAGTACAGTGCTTGTTGCTGGCATATTTCTGCATTGATTCCTGATTTAAGGACCCAGGGGATCAGGACTTTCAGGTTGGCAGGTTTAGCCACTTGTTGATGTCACAATGACATTTTCAGTATAGGGATTCAACTGCCAAGTCATATTTTGTCCTCCACTGAGGAGACTGGCACCCTTTCACATCATCCAAGATAAAAATTTCAGGTAACTCTGGATGTTTTTTAAAACACTTTGGGTGCAGTTTGCAAGACCATAAGCCTGGAGTAGATTCTGATTAAAACAGATTACCATCTAGCATCTGTACTAGGTACAAGGGTGTAGGGGGGGAAAAGCTTCATTTCTGAAAGGTATGAACATCTAGCATAGCTATTGTGGACAACCAAAAGGGAACACTGGAACTACATTTATTATAATAGACATTGACCTAATGTAGATAAAATACTTTAAAAAATTACCAATTTCCTGAAAGGTTGGGTTTCATATATGAATGTGAAACAGTCAAAATTTTTTAATGTAACTCCTCCTGACTTTGAAAATGTACAATTAAAGCCCTATGGCCCTTTAGTACCCCCAAGCTTCAAACTAAGTTGAAAGAAAATGCCACAGATAAAGAAGGACTGAAGGAAGATTTTTGGAGCTGAGACACCTCTGCAAATCCTAGAATTGCTTGCTGAAATTTACTTGAAACTAGCTGCGGGAAATCTTTGCTCTTTCATTCATGTAGAGGCCTTTGGTTGCCAGTACAGATTTCCTCTCTCTTCCAGTTCAATGCAGTTGGTAACATTTCAAAACAGAAAGATGCATATCCTATCTGAGCGGCTCCTGCCTGCCTCCAGAAATGCCATAGCTCACTGGACCTGCCACTTGCATGTTGGGGGGCTACACCTTCAGGGTCCTGCTCGCCCCTCCAGGGAAACACCTGATGTACTACACATTTTCAAAAAGATTGTGATTTAAAATGTTTAAATATTTGAAGTTCCTGTTAAATTGCTTTGCAACTGCACAAATGTTTCCAGATATCTCTCTCTATTCCTTGTTCCCTCCATGACAGTGACAGTGTATTTTAAACCAGCTCCAAATATTGTTCATGGAAAAGGTAGGATGAGGATAAGAGCACTAGTGTGTCCACTTGTTTGCTCTGCTGACAGGGTGAAGATGGTCAAAATTGTTCTTCTGGCTTGTTTTTCTCACATAGATGAAAGAAATCCTGTCTATATATATCATGGTTTATCATACAGAATCCTCTCCATGATGAAAAAAAGGATTTGCATTATTATGTTAAAACTTCCCGTAGGTCAAATCTCCAATTCTGTAAAAGCATGTTGCAGTCAAGACAATTAGAGGGCTGTGCCTCCAGGTTTTACTTTTATGTATTTCTAAGCTCATCTCAGGGTAAACTCATTCAGTTGCAGTGCATGGTAAAAAAAAAAGATGGGAGAAGGGGCCAATGCCATTGTAATATCTAATGAAAAAGTGTAAGTGCAGTGATGCTAGCTTTGAATGCTGCACATGGTCTTGAGTCACTGCATCCCAAACAGCTCTGAGAAGAATGTATCATTAATAATTTGTAGTAACACATGACTTCTAATTGATTGAATTCTTTTTTCTGTTTAAAACAAATGGAAAAAAAATACATAATTTATTTCCTTGCAGCTCATGCTATGTCAGAAATGGCTGTGCTTTTAGGACAAAATTCACTCCTCTAAAGTGTCAAAGCATGTACTCCAGCATTTAGGGAGGATGCTTAGCAAAAGACAGACTGCTTTCATCTCTGATAGCCTGATAAAGAGAAGAAATATGTCTCCTAGATGAGAGATCAGATTTGTTATGCTGAATGGGTGCCACAGAGAAGAGAACAGCAAGTAACCTACCACGTCAATTATCTGCAGCAAGGAAAGCTGGAGTTCGACTACGAGCGGCTGGGAGTCATTCACCACAGGTCGTTCCAGACGATTGTAGTTCCGCAGCAGATCTCTGTACAAACGTCTCTGGCTTTCCCCCTGCTGAGAGACTAGAGGAAAAGAAAGAAGGTGCGTGTCATTTACACTGTCACCCAGCCACCACTGTTTGCCTGTTTTGTTGAAAACTCCCTCTTACCATGTTTGTAATTAGAAAGCAGTTCCTAAAGATATCACCCAAATTCTGCACGTGGATGTGACAGACACAGCTTTTCTGCATATGTGAACGAGGAACTCTCAAAAAAATTAACTATTAACACTCTAACTCATTAGGAACATTCAGAAACTACTGAACAGCATCTGGGGCTCCGACTGAATGTGCCCATTCCTTGAAGTCCCTCCTGCTCATAGACAGTAATGATTCCAAAACTACCAAATAGCTTCCTAGAAGGCAAGCAAATGAATTCAATAATTTGCTTGCTCTTATTTCCTATACACTGGCTACTGTGAGCCAGCACTGGTATTACTTAGCCGTATTGTGTTTTTACCAAGCATGGACAACATGTACCCTTATTTCTTGGACCTGATGTATCAGGCCCTTTTCTATGCTCAAGAAGCAGTAACAACTGTTCTTCCTACCCTCTTCAGTTTTGTGTGGCAGTCTTTCCAGGTTCTGGGTTACTTTTTTTGACTTTTTGCATCTGATGGCAGCACAGTTTTTACATCTATTGAAGCAGTTGTATGAAGGCTAGAGTATTTAAAAGCTATTATAGGGATATTGAATGTCTGGTAGTACACTCTTAACTCAGTTTGCACTGGGAGCAGACTCCACACTGCCTGTCATGCAAACAGCTGAGCATGTAAAGATAAGCAAAACTTCAGTCTAAGCTTAATTTCCAAGATGCCCTAGTCCCCCCTTTGGGGTGGGTGTGGAAAGCATCCGTCTAACCTGCATGACCAGTTTTCCTTGCCACAAAAATTATGGATGGTAAAGGTTTGGGTATCTTCCATCAGCAAAGCAAGAAGTTTCCTGGGATACATACTCAGAACCCTAGTTTCCCCAAAACCGTGTCAATCTTGGTGCTGTGGCTAGTGGCAGCCTGAGCGTTACTTAAGAGCTGCACCTAAGAGAGGGAAGGTCATGAACTGCATGTTCCCTGAGGTCAACTACTCCTGTCGACATGAGTGTGTATTCTCTGAACTGTATAAATTCAATCCCTGTCAGAGAATCTGCACTCTACATCATTATTTGGACTGAAGCAATTTTTATCCACTGCAGTTCCCACTCTCTGACAGTTTTTACTTCTTGATCAGAGCTCTCCAAAACTTCTCTCAGAGAGGTTGTGATGAATATTTTCTTGACAGTGGAAACAAAATATAACAACTCATTCTGCCTTCCCAGTCTCTTACTATGCTTAGCAAGCCCTTCAAGCCTGAGACAAGCTGCCCTACAACAAAGCAGCCATGCTTTTTGAAACTAATAATAAATTCAGTTTATACACACTTGATAGGTCTGTTTAACTTTTGTTCTTTTCATTTTTGCTGATACTCAAGGGAGCTTGTGACTTTCTAGCATGGAAGTGCCTAGTAAACAAGAAAGGAGAGTATTTTGGTTCAGTTTGGTAAATTACACCAATTTCACATCAATTTCATGGGCCCTTTCTTCTCTTGCATAATAGTCTACATGGTCTACAGAGGAGCAAATGCTGTAAGCAGCCTACAATAGCCCTTGCTGACACCCCAGCACTGGTTGGTGTGTATTCACCAATATGAGCTCTGACCACAATAACTCTCCTTCAGCATTTAAAGTAATCTTCCCTGCTTACTTAAGCAGAAATTTAAGTTCTCTATTATGGCCTTAGTACTTCCCAGTGCCTCAGCAGGACTAGACTCCATCATAAAAATCTTGTGTGTGAAGGAAACCCATGAAAATCACCACATGTGATTTTTTTCCTATGGAAAGAGGCTCTGAGTTTGGAGAAAATTTGCTGTCCTTTCACTCACCTACCCACCAATGCTCCTGTGCTTTAGGGAAGAAATTACTTCCTGAGTTATTGCTCTCATCTTGAGCACTTACATAATACTTGCTTTCAACCTTTCTTTTACTGGCTGCCTCAGCTTTTACAAGGGGGAAAGTTCCCTTCACCAGTCTCTGGACCCAACTGGGCTGCTAGACTGCCTTGGTACCTCCATTGTCAGGGTACATTGAAGCAGCCCCCCAAGGGAGCTCTGACTTGCAGAAATCTAAGCACAAGCTCTAGGCTTTGGAAAGCTGTCTTTGCACTGTGTGCTTCATCCACACTGAAGTCAAGCCTCTTTCCCTGTTAAACTTTGTGAGGTGAAGTAGTTGAGAACTGCACCTAGTTTTCCACCCTTTCTTCATCTCTCCTCTCTGTAATGTGATCCTGATACTTTGCAATCTCTCATATTCAAAACTGTTAACATAGTCGTAGCTGATCTATTCTTAGTCTGCCGAGTTGGCATTGGCGACCACGTATTTTTGTGCTGCATGGTTTTGCTTACAAAATTACATATATTCAGAAGCCTTGGGGTATCCTGGCAAACTGCCACAGCAGCTGTTGGTACCACAAAGAGCTAGCAAGCCTAATCACACTGCCATCTCTCTGCTACAGCTGCTTTGGAGAAGGGAACTGAGGTAGAAGTCTAGTCTGACTTATATGTTCACAGACTTTTTTCTTTAAATTGTAATTTTCAAATACTTAATATTTCATACTCCAGAGAGATTTCTGATTTTTTCTCCTATAATGTTTGTGCTAATGCATTTTGACACTACAACTCTGTGTGCTAAATGGAGTGCTGGTGATGGGGAAGCCTGAATCTCTCAGGACTAGTGGTAGAATAAGCTTTACCACTGACTACCCCTCAGTCAACCAAAAGCAGTGGCAGTGGTTCATCTTTTAAACTAGGCTAGATGATGGATGTCAATATTTAAGGTTGCCAATCAGTCTACCTAAACCAGTGCCAGACTTGTTTGCCTATGTTACTGGTAAGTAAAAGTAACTGGCAAAGGGCATGTTTTCTAAGGAAAGGATTTGAGAGTTGTTATGCCTCTGTTGGTGTTTCCCTTGTCTGCAAAATAACTTTGAAGCAGTAGGAGGTTTACCTTAAGTTTAGCAAGACTTTTGACACCATCTCTGAAAAATTCTCACACACATTTATCTATGCCTTGCAGGCTAGATAAGTGAACAGTGGACAGAAAAGTGGCTGAACTGTCAGTCTCAAAGGGCTGTAGTCAGCAGCAAAAAGTTCATCTGAAGGCCAGCCAGTGGTAGAGTACTCCAGGGATAGATACTGGGAACAATGATATTTAATGCTGTTATGAATGATGAGACAGAGTGCACACTTAGCAAGCTGGGGTTATTTTTCAAATGGTGCAAAACTGGGAGGAGTGGCTGATACAGCACAAGGTTTTCTGCCACTTTCTGCCAGGGATTTTAAAAAACTGGAGAAATGACTGACAAGAACCTCATGAAGTTCAATGTAGTAAAGTATAAAGTCATCCTGCACCTGAAGAGTAACCTCAGGTACCAGAACAGGCTGGGGGCTCACTGGCTGGTGGGCAGGATAGCAGAAAAGCCCTGAGGAACTTTACAGGTATCAAGCTGACTATAAGCCAGAAATGCACCCTTGTAGCAAAGGTCACTGGCATCCTGAGTTGCAACAGAAGAACCACACAAGCAGATCAAGAGAAGTGATTCTTCCTCTCTACTCAACACTGGTGATACATACCTAGAATGATGGATCCACTGCTGGGGCTTATCAGTAGAAAGGAAACATGGAATTACCAGATCAAGGGCTGGATTGTTCCTCAAGATTTACTCTTTAATAATCTGAAATGTTCCCTAAACTGCTCCTGGAGTTTGCAGACAACTGGGAAGCACAAGGCAACCAATTCTTGGACTGGATGTGAAGAGCCCTATGGAAAGCAGTTACTCATGCACTGTGTTTAACACCTCTCTGAATTCCTTCCAAGCTTCTGCATGTACAAAGTAGTCTGCAAGACGCCCACTGATTGAATGATTTATATAAACTAGAAACTGCTACCAATCTTTTGAGAATAGATGTTATAGTTTCATTTCATGTTTCTTTCCAGGATGTAATTGCTAAGAATTGCACAGCAAGGGAACCTGAAGATAGGTCTGGCCAGACTGTCCATATGGCAGCCCCAGAAAGGACAGATGCTCTCTCCTTTCCAGGAGCTGTCCTGCCATGTCTGGTCTTGGCTGGTTGATTTTCCTGCTCAGCTTTGCATGCCAAGTCCCCAAGCTATAAGGCAAGAGTCCAGTCCTTCCCATTCCCGAGGTTTGTTCACAAAGTAGTCAGCTTCTTAACTGAGAACCCTGGTGTAAGACAAATTCTGGCTGGTTATGCACAGCAAAGAATAAATAACTAAATATTGACAAGATCATAGGTAGCAGAACATGGATTTCTACCAGTTTTTCAGCAATGACACCTGTATTATCAACCATTCTATCTCTGTTTCATAGTGTTCCCTGGTTTTGTTTCCATAATCTCTCAGCTTTTTTTGGGGGGGAAGGGGAGCTTCTAGCTGTTTTCTAGCTGTTTGCTCATTTCTTTAGGCAGACATCTGAGTCTGAATACACAAGTTTATTACATTATTCATACAAGATTATAGGTACCTAATGTGATGGCTTTCTGACAAAATATCATATTCTTTCCATATCACCTTATATTAACATATATGCATGCTAACATGCCTCAGAATTATAACATGTCTATTTGTTTTCTTTTTCTGTTTTCAAAGATAGTTCCTATATTTCATTTATAATATTTTTGGAGAATGTCTATTTGTTTTCTTTTTCTGTTTCAAATATAGTTCCTATATTTCATTTATAATCTTTTTGAAGAACTTGGTAAGTTACAATCAACGTCATGTTTCTGATCCATCACATTGTTGCTTTTGTATATTTTGCCCCTCAATACTTCATGAAAAATCTCAAAATGGAATAAAACTGTGGTTGTGACATTTATTCACTCCCGTTGTACCTTCTGCAGGTATTTCACCATATCTATGTCTTTTTTTTTTCCTCTCTGCCCTGTTACTTTGACATTATCTTTTGTTTTGGTTTATTTGTTTGTTATTTGTTTTGTTCGTTATTTGTTTCATAAAAGAAAATTAGTAAAGTTCTGGCATTTATAAAAAAAACCACAACAGTGCCATTATACTGTGAAGTATTGTTAAGTTTACTTGTGTAATGATTGCATTTAATTTTCTTATCGCTGGAATATTTACAGAGGAAAAATCCATTAAAAACTATGGTTAATTTCTAGAACTTAAAATTATTTTCCTAAAACCTTCCTGCCACAACTCCTCTTCTATTATTTATTTTCATTTTAGTTTATCACTGTACTCTTGCAGTGATTTTAAGTATTGCTTTCAGCACCTAAACAGAATGATCACAGGAAACATATACACACACACTGCATGCAATAATGAATTATGGGGAAGCAACATGAGAAGTATCAGGAAAAAAGCAGGTTGTTTCACAGACAATTTCATTTGCATAAAGAACTGCAATGGCAAGAACATTTACAAAATGAGGCATGTTCTAATGATTTGGTAGCTATAAAAAATAACTTATTTTGAATATTTTTCAGATTTTTGAGAATGTAAAGCCTGTCGCTGCCATAAGTCACTTAATCCCCAGAGACACAGATGTGTCCCATCTGCTTTTGTTCTTATGTGCAGCATTGTTACTTTTATCTGTGGCTGCAAATGCACTATTTCTTTCAAGGCCCTTTGATTTAAAATGCATGCCATCATGCCTTCGGGGAAGCAGATTCATATAACAAACAATGGAATCACATTCAGCTACCTCTACCCTGTGTGTGTGTCTGTGTGTGTGTGTTTATGTGTTGTGTATTTGAATATTTCTCTTATTTAAAACCTCTTTTTAATCTATTCCCCTTCTGAGTAATCTTTGACTCTAATCTTTGCCTCTTGCTATGCAAATTGTTTCTGCATCTTACAGACAAAAATTCATCAGATATCCAGAAGAATGTGAGAAATTACTTTATTTCCTAAGCAAGAAGGGCCTAATATTCCTGATACTGGTAATTTCTGCTCATTCATAGCAGATAAAGAGTTCCCAGCAGTGATAGGTATCAAAAAGTTATGCAGAGAAATGTTTCTTCTTGAAGAGTCTAGGTCCATGACAATGTGCTAAAACTATATCATGAAAGAATAGGCTTATAGTTTTGGTCCTACTGGCTTGGTTGTGGGTGTTTTAGAGGCTGAGTCATGTATGTAAGGTAGAGAGACACCCTTTGAGGTATTAACAGTGGAATACCTCTCACTCATAGTTATCATTATTTAAACTGCCTCATTACTCCAGGTCAGAAACCTAACTAGCTACAGCCAGAAAGGCAAAAAATGTACTTTTAGTGTAATGCTAGTTTACAATAACTATATACAATATGAGTGTCATTTCTACAATACTAGATGCACAAGGAGCAGAGGAGGAATCTGGAGCAGTGAGGAAGACATGCTACACATTACAGAGTTCTGTGGCTGTCTGGAAGCAACTCTTGCCAGCCCTCCTGGGATTTCTGGAGAGAAGTAGTAAGAGAAGCCAAAGGAAAGAAACAAAACCATAAGCTAAAAGCAAGATACTAGTGCTATGGTCATCAGTGCATTGTATTGGCCTTCTGTACTCCCTGCTTCCACTGGCTTGCAGAGCATCTTGTCACATCCCTTCATCTCTGCACGTTTCAGCACCCAGAGAAGTTTACCCAGGGAAAGCCTTTCTTGGGAAAGCACTATGAGCTTCACCCTCTAAGTGCCATCAATGCAGCAGCCATGGCATAATGGACATTATGCATTAACAGATGGCTCTGAAAAGGGACAAGTCAGTCTGTACCTCCCCATCAAAAGCCCACTCTACACCATCCCAGGCACATGTGAAGAGCTCAGATCTGGGAAAGTCATAAGTGAACTGACAGATGTAATAATGATTTCTGTGGAGACACATAGGCAAGTGTGATTAGGCTGAGGAGTTCTATTAGTCTAATGGCTGAATAGGTAAGAGGAGTTCTTTTTCCTAAACCCAATACAGATAATAGCAGTGATGGAGCCTGCAATGATGTTGTTGTTTAACCTCACACTACAACTGAGTACCATGCAGTCTCTTGCTTACAATCTCCCTCCTCCAAGGGAGGGGAGATTGTAAGCGAGAAAAAAAATTACAATAATATTAGTGAAACATATTAATAATAAAATGTAATTAAACATAATAATAATAATGAAAAGGGAGACAACAAAAAGAGAGACAGAAATAAAACCAAAAGATGAGAAATTATGCACAACACAATTGTTTGCCACTCATTGATCTGTGCCCAGCCCACCCCTGGGCAGCAATCAGCCTCTTCTGGTCAGTTTCCCCCAGTTTATACACTGAGATATACTAACTTCCCAGGAAGAGAAACATAATAATTTTGTCCCAAGATGTGAAGAGAGCAAAGATTCCAAGAGCTATTCCTTAGTCACACGCATGTCTTTAATAGGAAAAAATAGCTTCCCTTTTTGGTGATTCAAAGATGAGGGAGAGATCTTGCTCTAAACCATTGCCTCAGTGTGTTATTGGTGAAGCAGTGGTAATATGGTTTAACTCCTCTGGGCAATGCAGAAGACAGGCTGGAGTGGAAATGATACAGACAATAATACTGTGAAAAGGAACTGCTCAGTGTACTCAGAGATGTTGCAATGCTTCTTTCCATTTTTCCTTCTGCAGTGCTCATCAGCTGGTTATGATCTCAGAGACAGCTGGTTTCCCAAACTATGAACTTTTTGCCTTGCCAGCCTGCCACCTGTCCTTGCACAGCAAAGCTAAGCAGCAAAGGCATTGAGGATGAAATAGGCAAGGCTAGAGACGGCTTCTGCCTTTTTCTCTCATTACTCAAGTCACAGCTGTTGCCCATGAACGAAGTGAGAGCTCCACTGGCTGCAAGGCACAGGCAAGACACAAATGTCCTCAGTGAACACAGATCTGAGAAGGCAAAGAAAACTCCAAGTTTGTCTTTACAATTCCAGAAGTCAAACGATGGATAATGAGAAATATAGTGTAAGAGCCCTCTGAAAGGGATGAGGGTTAGTCTGATGAAAATTTTGACTGCACCTTGAATGATTCCTAATTTGTTCAGTGCTTAGTATGTGAACTAGGAAGCATGGAGATACATTTTCTAAATGTTTCCTAAATCTGAAACAGTTTTGCACCTGGGGAGTAGAACTTTCATAACACACCTGTAGATAAGACTCAGCCCTGTTTTAGGCAGCACCAATGAGCTTTCACTAAATCAGGCAAAACTTGCTGCCTGTGTGAGATGTGCTGCCAATCAGCTGCTGATAGTTTGGAGGTCTTGACAGCAGAACTAGCTGCTATCAAGGTATTTTTTCTAAGGGGAAAAAGTCTGAGGCTTTGATGGTTGAGGTCTTCAAAGACAAAGGGAACTGTAAATAATGGCGTGAAAATTCTCAGCAAGGAGTCTTAATTTATTTTACATTGAAGAGAAAAGCTGCTTCTAATAATGTCTTGATGAAGTAAATGACTTGATCTGAGCAAACTGGACTTGTGACCAATCAAACATGGTTTGTGGAGATCTGACTTAAGACACTTGAAACTGTATGTACTATGCTTTGGCTGACTCAGTCCAGACTTGCTTATATGCATACCAAATGGCTTAAAACCTTACATCTATTTTGTTGTTTGATTTTTTTTTTTTTTTATCCAGACTTTAAAGGTATCAGGATCTCAGTGACAGCTGAGTTTTGGTTGATCTGCTTTTAGAACACTAGATGCTATTGTCTTTTCCTTAGGTACATGGCTCAGGTCCTGGTTTTGTTAGTGGTTATAAGAAATATTGGTCTCTCCCTGCTGCACCCTGCCAGCCAAACCTGCATTGGCTACGTCACTCATCCTGGCTAAGAGCAGAAATGAATCACAGTGAAATTGAGGCACTTCTAGAGAATGACAATCTGGGGAGCGTGGTTTTTGTCCTGTCTTAACTCTGTTGCTTTTAAGCTTTAGTAACTGCAGTCTACTGCTCCTGAATGATGCTGGTGCAGAAAAACAAAATTAAAACAAAACTGGTGCCCTGTGCATCTAGAGGGAGCATGATTGCCATCCTGTAATACAGTAGCAAAGCTGCAAATGTGGGATGCTTGGTCTCTGAGCCAGACCAGAGCAAGCCTGAAAGTCAGAAAATGATCCTGTCTAGGCTGCCCTCTTGTATTCATCAGAAAAGAATTCCTGAGACTGCTAGAGCATTTTGACCCAAAGTTTAAGTAATTTGCCCACTTGACAGAGGCCTCCTCTGGAGAAGAATGTCTCTTCTCCTTATCCACAGACTGGTTTCCCTTAGATCTACCTTCTCTGTACCCTGCTGCTCCCTCTTTCATATCATCCAGCAACACATAAAACTGAAGTGCTTGAACTGAGATACCAATCCAATAAATTTAAATTATAATGGGTGACCCTAATATCTTTGGAAATGATAATAGAAGTCTTAGACCTTGAACAAAATGTTACTGCAGAGAGTATGCTACAGGATAGCTGTTTGCTTATAACAGAAAGGCAAAGCTTTTGCTTGGAGCCCCCGTAGATGCCCAGTTGCCATTTATGGATTGTGTGTGAAGCCTGAACATGAACAGGTTTAATCCAAAGTTTCTGCCCATTTGCCACTTGAAACAGTGAGAACTGCAAACTATCTGGCAACTTTTTATGTAAGTTTTGGTCTCTTCTTCCCATTGTTACAATTGCTCAAGCTGAATTTCAGTTTGCTGACTACCTACCTGACAAAATATTAAAGGGAAAGTACTCCATCAATTGCCTTATTACTTCTGCAGGATCTTCAAAAAAACCCACAAGATGGCTAAGAATTATGTATAGTATTATCTGCATGATTATATGACTTCCTACTTTTGGTTTTTCCCAAATGCACTGACTCAGATGTGATGAGAACATTAAGCAGCATCATTCTCTACAGCCAGCCTGCACTCAGTGAGTCCCATTTCATGACACACAGTTAGTTCTGTGTCACAAAGCCTCCATAGGGCAGCACTGATCCCTTGGAGTGAGCGGAGTGGAGGCCACAAACAGGCTGCTATAACACAGCAGATGGATTAAAGACATATGCCTTTGATCTGCTTGGAGATGAAAAAACAAGGGTGAGTTCTTTTGGCTGCCTTCAGTATCCATGAGGAAGGGCTCCATCATGAAGAAGCCAGGTTCTCCTGGGAGATGCATAGGGACAGGACCATTAAGATAAAGGTACATGGTGGGGAATTCCCACAGTACTAAGAGAGCTCTTTTTTTCCTCAAGGTTACCATGCATAAGGAACAGCACTGTCCTTGAAAATGTTTGCAGCTTGACTCATCAGATAACAACCCAATAGGGAAGAAGGGTTGGACTGGACAACCTCTGAAGGTCCCTTCAAGCCAAATTATTCTATCACTATATGAACCTGTATAGATCAGACACTCTCTACCCTCAGCTGCCACAGACAAAACTTTTCCAATTTAGAACTTAATTTTTTCCCTTGGTATGGTGAAGATCTAAGTGACCAGTGATGTTTTTCCATGTAACCACAGCTGAACTTCAGGTAACACAGTGTACTGTCTTAGTCCAGTCTGCCAATTGACTTCAGCCTCTTTGAGCTCTCAGTAAGAAACAAGATCTCCTCAAGCCTGCCTGTTTCTTCTAAGTATTTTTTCTGCCCAAATCTACAGCACATTAAGAATGGAAATGAGGGCTGTGGTTTTCTCTTCAACCCTATGGAATGCAAAAGTGTTGAAAATATCCATTTCTGAATGGTGATAAGGTTTGCAGGCATTTGTTTCAGCACTCCATTAACCACAGATTTTCTAATTGAGCAAAGCCAATTGATAGCAGGGCAAGACAGAAACACCTGCACCACACTGTTTACATGCCTAAGTACTCATGTTGACTACAGGTTCCCCTTCCATTTGATTTTACTGACTTAATTGCAAGCCCTAGGTGGGGAGATTCTTACTTCCAAACACTCCATCTGGTTCAGGTTTCAGCCTTCTCACCAGATTTTGCTCAATGAAGAAAGTATTTGATAACCAAAAATCTTTCTTCAACACATATTGTCTCAGGACTGTGTTCTAAAACAGCAATAAACTCCTGTCTGTCTCTCATTTCCTGGGTTGATACTGATTGCCAGTTCTAGCCCCGCCTGTCTCAGTCAGGTTTGATTTCTTTCTTAATTAGTTTATGTAGGATCTTTAGGCAGTAGACATCTTCAAACAACCATGTCAGGACTGATGCAAAGGGTTTTCATCTACTTTAATCACATGCTAGAGCTGAAGAGACTATATTTCCCTCCTTGCTTGTCACATACAAATGAAATTGTATATGCTACCACCATCACTAACTCATGTTCTTTTCCACATGCCTTAGGAAAATAAACCAGAGAGAAAAAAGAGTTCTGAAGCTGCCTTTAAGAGATGAATCCTCTGCCTGGAACAAGAACTTCTGCTCTGAGACCATCAGAAAACTCTACGAGTTGAAGCAAGGCTGAGGGGACCCAAGGTACCATCTGGCATTATCCCAAAGATCAGATGGATGCTTTCTCATGCATTGTATCTGCCTCTGGACCCCTCCCAACATGCAAGACTGCTACACCAATAGGTGCATGTAACAATAGGCACTGGTGATGTCGTGACTCAGTTGCTTTTTCTGGATTTGCCCACTTTTTCCAGTGATATTTGAGAAGAATTAACACAAGCTTTAGCTCAGATAACTACCACAAATGTGCATAGAAATACCTCCAACTTTCCTGGAGCCTGGCAACTTCTGAGAAGCTTGGGCCAGCTCCACAGTCGCAGCTGTGCCTATGATAATACAGATCAGCCTTAGAGCTGTGCCAGTGAATGCACATAGAAGATTACTGACTGAACACAAGGTCTGGTTCATTGAACTATAAAGTCAACCTCAAGAAGCAAGCATGGACAGCAAATTACTGTAGCAGATTACTTAATGCAGAGCAAATAGGGGTTTGCTTAGGACTCTGCCTGCCTGTCTTAAATGTATTGACAGATATCAATGGCATTAGTGCTCTGATCACAGAGCATATGTGCAGGTGCCATGGACAAGTACATTTATTCCCTTGGCTCCATGCATATGCGATGCCTTAGCACGCTCTCAGCATTCAGAGTGATCAGCCCTGTTGTCTGTGCTATTAGATATTAAAGTAATGGCAGGGATCTGACAGCAATTTCCCATGTCTGCAAGTTGCATGTGTGGCATCTTCTTATGCCATCAATATGGAAGAAAAGAGCTACTAGTACAGGCTAAGCCTAGTTCATATATTTTCTATTTCAAATGTGTATCAGCTGCATTGTTATCTTTGAAACTGTGTGATGATATGAACTGCATCAATATAGAGAATGCGGAGAGCTAAGGTGAATACAACCTTCAGACCTCTAATTAAGGGTATGAAAGATTCTAAATTATTTAACTTTCACACCTGGTTCTACTCTGATAACAGCTATGAGATGTAAAAACACAGCAACTTCATCAACCACCTAAATTATCAATGATATTACAATGTACTCTCTTAAGGCACAGGAATTCTTTTATCTGTTCAACTGTGTCTCTTTGGAGTAAATAAGTTTGATTAAGACACATCATTGCAGTTCTATCAGGCCTAAACAGCTGAGGCCTGAAGTTTAGACTCCATATATAGGTATTTAAGTATCATTATTCGTTCTTCCTACTACATAGATCTCTAAACTCATGTCACCTCTGTCTAATCAGCTCACATTAGAGAAATTGTAGCTTGGCAGTGGAATCTGGTCTCCTGAGGCTATCTTCTGAGCCAATGCTTCTGCTGTTGTAGAAACAGCACCTGCTTGCATGGAGGGAGAACCAAGAAATTTGTGAGGATTTGCTCCAAGAGGTCATCAGTTCTGTTCTGATGTGATCACTTAGACCCCGTTGAAATAAGCAAAGGTGTGAAAAAGCATGAAATGGGGTGTAGCACTGCAATTCAAATCTGTATTGTGAGTCAGCCAAAGAAAAGCTGCTTTGCAGCAGCTGGCTACACCAAGTCAGGCTGAATTACTTGATCATTTACATCACTGAGCTGGTTAGCTCACTTGCAGCATCCCCTGCCATAGGATTTGTCCTATACAGCTGAGCACTTACATTCCCACCAGATTGCAGAGAAAGGTTGTTGTCCTCAGCTTGCCTTTGCCTTTGTTGGACTTTTCAAAGCTCCTTGCCCATATATGACCCTGATGGCAGTCTGTATAGAGCAAAGAAACCAAGAGGTTTGACTCTGCTCTGTGTGGCATGTGGGCACTCTAATGGTCTCACTCAAGAAATAAAAAAGGATATAAAGGCACAGTAATAAGAATACATGGTTTGACTGGAGACTAGCCAAGTGCATGTTGACTTCCCTGGGTGTTCAAACCCTGTATGTGCCCATGCTCTGAGCTGCAGGTAACTCCTCAGAGAGGCTATGTGTCTTTGTGGTCACTGTGACATATTTCTCAGAATGTCCTTGCACAGTTCTCTGCATCCTATCTCTCAGACTGTACCATACTCCAAAAACTGAGCAGGAATGGGTCTGATTTCTCCTTTCCAATCAATCCCTGGACCAGGTTTTTCAAGTCCCTCCATCCAATATTATTAGGTGGCTGCTGAGACTCACTGGGTCCTTCTACATTCTGGATGCTCCTTCAAGGATTGCTGCTGGCTTGGAAGGGATATCTGACCCTGAGAGTATTCACCTGGGATATAGGAAGGTTGAAAACCAGTTTCCTGATTTTTCCTTAGATTCATGTCTCAAAAAAAAGGATCATCAGCCTTTCGAGAAGGAGGGCTGCAATGACCTAGCTTACATGACATGACTACTGGGGGTCTTAGCATTATTGTGAATAAAGTCAGGTTGAAGCAGACAGTTGAGGAAAGAACTGGAAAAAAAATTGAGTTCTTCATGTATTGTTTGTGTTTGGTTTTTATCTAGTTCTTGTGACAACTTTCCTGTCAAACAGCCCTACAGGAGTTTCCAGGACTTGATAAATTGCTATGAACAATGTTGAAACAACTCAGTGCTATGTGAGAGTGACGTTAGCTATGATTTCAATTCACCGTGACTTCCATGTGGAGAAACTAATGAACCCAGGGGGGAGTTCATCTGGATTTACTGTTAAAAAACTCTACTACTGATAACACGCTAATATCATTTTGACTTATTTCTCTTCTGCCCCAGCTGCTCAATTCCCAGGTCTTTCTGGTGTTTTTTTCCCTTTTTTTTTAATTTAAAAAAAAAAAAATGTGTAAAGCAGAAGTCAGTTACAGACCAACTTTATCAGGATTAATTTTATTCTGCTTTAGCATTTTTCTGTAAAAGTGCATACTTGTAAGCTGTTGGTACAATCACCTAACAAAAAATTCTCTGAATTATTTTTAAAAGCAGTTTGTCTTCATGTGCTGCTGAAAGAAACTAGGCATCCCCTGATGAATTAGTGATTTCTTATTATTTAAAAGGCAGGATTTACATGACACACAACTTCTCAAAATGGGAATGTCCACAAAATTACTTATCTCATAACTAGATGCTATATGCCTGTTAGTTCAGCTCCTACAGTAGCACAAAAATGTGTTGAAGATAGCAAAGTTCTTAATTTAGCAAGCTGGGGAAACATTTTTCTTCAGCACCGTTACTACATTAGGCAGATGAAATGTGAATCTGTAAAAATGAAATGCCCAGATGTTTTACAGTCTCAGATGAATTAATGAGGAATTATCTATACGGCAAGAATTATCCAGTGCAACACCATATTTATGCAAGTTTCCAGTGCCCTTGCACTTCTGAAATAGGTAGACAACTTTGTCTGCTCTAAAACAACAATCCTGCTTTATATATAAATTGTCAGAAACAAGATATGGTCCTTCACACCTAGAATACTCAGTTTTAGAATTTTTGATTGATGCAGGTATTTATGTTTCAGCTGAAAGGGAGCCATAAAAGCACATTTTGTGTAGAATACTGTCTATCTTTCATTACTATGGCTATTTCAACATTCTTACTTAAAAACACTTTTATTGTCATCCTTGCTAACCTGAATATTTTTAAATAATCACACAGCCCCTATTTTTGTTAGCACCATGCTGAAACTTCTGAAGATAGCTTAGTCAGAGCTGACACCTTAGACTACAGAAGCCCATTATTCTTCCTATTATTTCCAGCTATATATATAATCTCTTTCTTAACTGTTTTGTATTAAATATACTAATAGTATGTTTAATAAAAACAAACCATAATTAGTAAATACAGATTTAATCTTTCTACATGATGCAGAGAAAATAAACAGTTATGCTTCTGCTTGTATTTCTCTGTAGAACTCCATTGCACTCACACACCTACAGGGTGCTCAAATCATTCTGCCCAGCCCAAAGTTATAATCTCCTGTTGTCAAAAAACCATGGGAAGATTACATTTTTAAGGAAAGCAAGAACATATTTATTTTGAAACACAACCATTTCAATTAATTTATGGAAGTTAAAATTAGTCACCTTTAATAAAAAATAATAAAAAAAGCCCACACAAAAACAAGCACACATGCTTCTTAAAAAAATGTGCCCAGCACTGTAAGATCCATAAACTTACCCAAACTGATTACAAAAGTCAGTTAAACCAGCACGGGGCTCTAATGAAGTTCAAAATACAAGCAGATACAAGATTTCCTGAAAATAAAAGTTGGGGTTGGATGTAACTAGCATTTAGAAGATAAAAAAATAATAATAAAAAAAAACCCAAACAACAAATCAAAACAACAGAAACAAAAAACCCAAACCACAACAAAAATAAAGAAAACCCTGGACAAACACAGATGTGCTTACCTTTAAAGAGTGAGAAGAACAAGGATGACCAGAGACACAGTGCAGAATAAACAAATGCCAAGCACTTTTCTGTGAGCATTGTCAAAATAAGCTGTCTCTCCTTCCTGAGCAGAGGGTGAAAGAGGATGAAGACTTGAAGACAGCCGGCAATGACTGATGGATTTGGCAATTACGGTAATAAGGCATCAAACCAGCTTCCCACCAGGGGAGAAAAGTGCATTTGCTCATGTGCTTCTCCAGTCCCCAGGAGCCAAGTCAGCTCAGTGCTTGGTCAGTAAACCCAAACACAAAGGAACAGGTTACATTCCTCTGGACTCACATTGCTCGGCACACTGAGCCTTTCCCTGGTCAGGAGCAAATGCGAGTGATCCTCGCACACAGCTGTCTGTGTGCTGCAAGAAGGGGGAGTGTGCTGCCTCGGAGACGCTCTCCACATCTCCACATATTGTACCTAACTCGAGACAGCGCGGCTGCAGTGTTTCCACTGCTTGCACTCGAGTGCCTCTAGAGCTGTTTCCCGGTGAAATTGATTAGTGTGTGTCCCCCTCTTCTCTCTCCCAGCTGCCAGAGCAACGTGCAGCAAGCACCTGTCACATACACCTGCCTTTTCTCCCAGCAGAGATGGCATGGAAGATTCAATAGTGCAAAAGTTTGAAAACATGAAAATAGCCAATCTCCTGTCCATTTTTGGTGCACACCTTAATGTAAACACTTCCACCAGATGTAGGGAGATGCTCCAAGTGCCCTCTTCCCCAGCTGTCCACTGTGGGATTTCACACACACCTTTCCTCTCCACAGTTTTATTTACCAGCAAAGGTGAGGCAAAGTCTTGAATGAATTATAGTCATCATTTGGGCCTTTCTTTTCTCATTTGTTCTGAACACTCATCCACTTCTCTTTCACAGCAAGCAGGGACAGGACTTTGCACTTCCCCTTGCTGAATTTCCTGGGGCTCCTGCCTTGACAGGGTACAACCCTGGACTGATGCAGAGAGCAGCAGTAAGTCGTGACTCTGGGCAGGAGGAGGGATTTGGGGACTGCCGTAGCGAGGCTGCAGCGGGCAGTGCAAGCTGGTAGGAGCCCTGGGATGTGGAGCACAGGGTGCTCTGAGGAAGAGCACTTGTGAGGTTAAGTGGTGGGGCACGGGCTGACCGTGGAGACCCCCTGGCTGGAAACATCTGCCCTGGGATCAACTGCAGAAATGTAAACTTATAACGCTCAGGAAACACGTGAGAAATCAGTAGTCAAAGAAACAGGAAAGGGGAGGAAAACAGTGCAAGTGGGGAGAGCAACACCACCAGCATTAGTTAGTAACACTCAGACATCTTCTGCAGTTTTCATGCTTTTGTTTTCTTTTAATAAATGTTAAATAGATTTGGAAGGCTGAGACCACAAGGGGCTGGTGTATACCCCAGCTGCAGCCTGGACTGATTTAGCTGTATCCTAATGCCCTCTCATCCTGTCACTGGATGGTGGACTCTCTTCCTGGGGGTTCAGGAAGGGTCCTCAGAGCTGCTGGCCCTCCCTTTGCAGTCTTGCTGGGGTGCTCCACGTGAGCTTTCACTGACCAGCTCTAAGTGGAACACCCAGGCACAGCCTCCTCTGGGTTCTCCCAGGCCCCTTCTTGCTCCCCATGGGTAGGAATGGGGACAGAATGGGACTTGCTGCTGGGACTGCATGAAAGCTGGCCTGGGAGACCCCCTTGGGTGGCATCAAAGCCAGGGACCATAGAGGGGCTGTCCTCCCACTCTCAGAGGTGCTCACTGACCCCAGGGCAGTGGCCACATTGCTGATGGCAGGGCTACTGCAGTGCTGTGGGAGCTAGGGGCAGAAGAGGTCCTACTCTCAGGTCTGATGGTGCTGCAGGGCAATGGAGACTGGGGGCAGCTAAGTGCTCAGGAGATCATGTATCAGACTTCATGTGAGTTTGATAGATGATCACAGCTCCCTCCAGGGAAGATCACTTGAGCAGAGTCCATTGCAGAATGTGGGAAATGGATCTGTAGAGAGTTCTCAGGGCCTGACAGAAAGGCCACACAGTGTGCATCTATATGCAAACTTTGAGACAAGAAATGCTGCCTTAGAAATGCCATGGAATAGAAAGATATTGTTGAGAGAGAAATGGAGCTAGAAAAAAGTTTCAAAGGATGGCCTTGCAAATAAGACTAGGTACTTCGGAGAAATAGAACTATGAAATATGCATTGTAGTAGGACCCATGAGGGGTAGTTTTAGATTATTTGCTTTCAGGAATCTACAGCATGGCATGGCAAAAAGCTGATAGGCCAAGAAACACTTCTAGTATATTGTAATTAGGAAATAGTCAGCTTCTGATTGTGATGGCATGAATTATAACAGCTATATTGTCTCACCCTTTTTGTGAGACTAAAAATGGAATAAAAGTTTTTAAAACACCTCTCAGTTGCCCCATCTCTAGATCAGGAAAAAGTATTGTCCAACAACAGAGATGCCTGTTCTTGCAGACAATTGTACTGACTGGGGGCACCTGCACCAAAACTTCTCCTTTATCTCCTTCTCTATTCCCCTCACATCCCCACAGTAGAACAACATGGAGCATAGTTTTGTCCATTATTTTTGGTCTATATTTGGGTTTTTCTTAAATTTCTTGAAAAATTAAATCTTTCATCAGTAAGTACAACTTCACACATATTGCAGCTCCAGTTGCTATACTCACCTTCAGCCACTGCATGTGGCTGTCCTCCCACTGATGGCCACAGTGTGCAGACTGGGAGCAGCTGGGTACCCAGGAGCTCCTCCTCTCAGGTGGGACATGTCTGATGGTGCTCCGTGGGGTGGAATGACATGCTCCTCAAAGATGTCATCTCCCCACACCAAGTACAGAATGGAGGCCACCCTCCTCTCTCAGAAGGGGCACTCAGGCTTGCTTCCAGCCCACGGCAGAAGACACACTTAACAAGCAGAGCAGCCATGGCAGTCCATAGCTGGCCTCATCCCAGCTGTCCAGGCAGATGGGACAGCAGTTGTCCAGCTCCATGGCCATGCTTGTCATGTGCTCTGGGGTCTGAAGACAGCTGGGGATGACAAACCACTTCACTGCCTTTCAGTGACACTGCAGCAGCAATTGTTGTGCTAGAAAAGTGAGGCCACAGTTGTTGTCTTGTCTAAGGATGGATGGAAGTAATACCCATATCCCTCAGGAATAAAACCTTCCTTGCTCCCCAGATGGGGTTTTCACCTCCCAGATAATTTCTGCTGCTGCAAGAGTGACTCCTGAGTGCACCAGCTGCCTCAACAGAGAGATCTATTTTGCAAATGACTCATAGGGGCACAGGCTGAAGGTCACTGATCTCACAAGGATGGCAAATCTACCTATATCATGGCTCTCTGCAAGTAGGAGACTTGGTCCTGCAATATCCGACATCGAGCCTGCAAATGCAGACAGGCAGAATCCAGAGGCTTTGCAATCCAGCTCCTTTTCTGCACTCCTCCGCTCTTAACCACATTTCAAAATCAGGCTACAGGTGAATTCTCCAAAATGCCTGGGTTGCTTTGTTCCACAGACAGTCATTTAACCATGTCATCTGGTAAAAACGAGCATGTCTGACAACCAAATATACACCATGGAGTCCAGAAAATATAATTTATTGCACTACTGAGATGCAACCAGGTTCTTTGTTGGGATTGCTGCTCACTTTGTCAACAGTGCATGGGCCTGGAGGTGTGTTTCTCTCACAGGCTGTTTTTAAGGAAGGATACAGCCAGAACGAGATTATAGTGCAAGTCTGATGTGCTCCTCCTCTGTGCTGCCACTGCAAAAAGCTTTCCCGGAGAAGATAAAACCAGGCCCTTCTGGCTGAGATCCCATAGTAAGGATGCATATCTGTTCCTCAGCTCTGGATGCTTTCATTGCTCCATTTGTATGAGTCCCCATCTCCTACAGAAGCAGATGGCATGAATACCAAAATCAGGATTTTCCAGCAAAGAGCTGGGAGGCAGACATTTTCTCTCACTGCCATTTCCCTGTGAAACCTGGGATTGACTGCTGCAGACTGGGGCTTATAGAAAAGGTCCAGGTCAAAGCTCTACCTAGTGGTTCAGACTGTGTTCTGATTTTGTGAAGTTATGTGACTTGTTTCTCCTCTTCTTGGGGCTGTCTCCTCTGGGTCACAATGGTACAACTCAGCTGGGCAACCTTCCTCTGTGAATGGGTTTGTCTGCAGGTGAGACAGCTCTTTTGCCACCTTTCACCATGCTTGCTGCTGAGTTTGCCCAGTCAGCCCTCCTAGCACTGACTTGACTTCCAAACCAAACTTCCACAGCACGTGTGAGCAAACAGAGATAAAGGACAACTGGCCACACTCACACTTTTAACAGCTGAGCAAGAGGATGGAGAAAGGAGGATGAAGAGAGCCCTTGTAATGCAGAAAGTGTTGGAAAATGACTTATCTCAGGAATGGTTTGGATGAGTTACGAGTGATTTGGGGAAGTCTGGCAAAGGTGTCAAGTGCTGGAGTGGATACAGTGCATTGTTCAGAAGTTACATGACTAGGGTATTACCATGCATATCAAGCTGCAGAGACCACTCAGTGGGTTCAGCTCTTCTCCAAGGAACGTGGATGACACCAGGCCACACATGCACAGGCCAAGTGACCTTGCTGGTGAGGCTGGGGATGCTGGAGGATAGGAAAGTACTGCCGGATATGAATACTTGGCTGGTTAAGGATGGAGATGGGTAGGGGTGATCCTAATTCTGCTGGATGCTGAGATGAGGAAGCCAAGGAAGTGAGCTATGGAGGGGTCCACTCCTTTTGTAGGTGCAAAAGGAGGCACATGATGTCAGGAGGGTCTGCATGAACTAGGGATCTCACAGCTCCCCACTCTTGCAGGCAGCATATGGGTGGGTTGAGGTAACAATGGAGCTGAGACCTGAGCTCTGCATGCTCCAATGACACATGGAAAGAGCTGCACAACAAAAGCAAGGTGCAAGAAGCACCAGCCCTGTCAGACAGGCCTGCAGTAGCCTCTCATCCCCAAGGGTTCAGGCTCTGATTCTTCAGCCCCTGCTCTGTACTTTCCCACGCAAGAGGAGAAGAACAGAGGTGTAGGGCACCATACCAGAGCTCAGCTGAGAGGGTGATTTCCCTCCCTGGGCGCTGGGTCTGCAGCACCGGGGCTGGTGAGGGAGCAATGCCAGCCTCTGGCCTGCTGATAGAGAGTCAGCCAAGATGTGCTCAAATGCATCCTTGAGAACTGCAGATCTTATCTGTCCTATTTCCCATCTCTACATTTCTTTCTCTGTACCGGTGTCCACCTCCTGCTTTCCCGTTGTGCTTCCATCATGCTCTCCATCCCTCTTTTCTGTTTTTCCACTCTGTCACTCTCTTTCCCAATTTCTCTTCCTCCTACTGCCAGGCTTGTTTCTGTATCCTTTTTGTGTATTTTCTTAGCCCTTCATTTCCCTGCCCCCAGACTTCTTTCCTTATTGCCCTCTCCCCTTCCTCCTTCTCTTCCTCCTCCTTTCCTTATTGCCCTCTCCCCTTCCTCCTTCTCTTCCTCCTCCTTTCCTTATTGCCCTCTCCCCTTCCTCCTTCTCTTCCTCCTCCTTTCCTTATTGCCCTCTCCCCTTCCTCCTTCTCTTCCTCCTCCTTTCCTTATTGCCCTCTCCCCTTCCTCCTTCTCTTCCTCCTCCTTTCCTTATTGCCCTCTCCCCTTCCTCCTTCTCTTCCTCCTCCTTTCCTTATTGCCCTCTCCCCTTCCTCCTTCTCTTCCTCCTCCTTTCCTTATTGCCCTCTCCCCTTCCTCCTTCTCTTCCTCCTCCTTTCCTTATTGCCCTCTCCCCTTCCTCCTTCTCTTCCTCCTCCTTTCCTTATTGCCCTCTCCCCTTCCTCCTTCTCTTCCTCCTCCTTTCCTTGTCCCTATTTCATTCTCTCTATCCCCACTTCTTGTCTCCTTTTCCTCTCTTCCACCCTCAGACACTCCTCTCTCCCTCTCCTTGCGGGGCAGCGTCCCTGCACCGTCCCTGCCTCTCTCCGTGCCCGGCCCACGGGCTCCGTCCCCTCAGAGCCACCTCAGGGCGGCTCCGAGCGGGCGCTCTCCCCTCCGCGCTGCCCGCTGCGGCGGGGCCTCCGCCTCCCCGGGCTGCTCCCGGGGTGATCCGCCCCGCCGTCCCGCGGATCACCCGCCCCGTCGGCGCTCGGATCGTCCTCCCCGCCGCCTCTCCCCGGTGTCCGCGGCAGCCCGAGCGGGGCCCGAGGCGGGGCGGCTCCGCGGGCAGCCGGCGCTGCTGAGGCGCTGAGGGACGGCGGCGGGATGTCCTCTGCTGGCGGGAGCCGGGGCAGCGGCAGAGACTTTCGCCCGAGCAATTCCCTGCAGGATATGAATACTTGGCTGGTTAAGCAGGGAGCTGGGTTGGGGTGATCCTGACTCTGCTAATTGAGATGCTAATCCTAATTGAGCCAGCCCATCGCCAGGCGCGCGCTCCGTTTGGCTCCCCACACATCCTCGGGGCTCTTGGTTATCGCTGGGTTCACGCAAAGGGGCCCCCAGGAAAGCACGAACCAGCCCCACGCCTCAAACACCCAGAGCTCTGCTTGAGGCCCCCAGGAATCGGCCTCGCGTAATTACAGAAACACAAAATGTTCTGAGTTAGAAGGGACCCACGAGGATCATCCAGCCGAGCTCCTGGCCCTGCACAGCTCCATCCCAGAGAATCACACCAGGTGCCTGAGAATGTTGTCTGAATGCTTCTTGAGCTCTGTCAGACTTGGTGCTGTGACTGCTTCCCTGGAAAGCCTGTTCAGTGCCCAACCACCCTCTGGGTGACGAACCATCTCCTGATACCCAACCTAAACATCCCCTGACACAAGTTTACCTTATTCCCTCAGATCCTGTGACTGGTCACCAGGGAGATCAGTGCTGCAGTGGGTGTCATGACAGAAAAAGACCCTAGGAGGGATGGAATCAATGCCCAGGTCCCTCATGAAGGAATTTTCCTTCCCAGATCACCTCTGTTGCTGTGAGAGTGACTCCTGAGTGCCCCAGCCAGAAAAAAAATCCCCTGATGTCTCTGAGGCCAAGCACTGAGAGCAATACTACTAAATAACAACAGCTTTGCATGTCATTCCTTTCTGGCTGTGGTAGCAATGCTGTTGCCTTAATAAAAGCCTTTGGGAAGCTCTCTCTAGCCCACAGGCAACTACAAAAAGACCTTGAAATTACTGTGGAGTGACAAAGTGATAGACTTCGGCAAGGGATGCTTCAACTATTTAAATTTTGAATGTGTAACTTTCTCAGTTCCATGTTCTTTTCTTTCTCCTCCAAGCAGGGGAGGAGCACTCATCTGGGAGGGAGGCTAGACCATGAACTCCCTGAGCTGCATCATCATCCCCCATTCCTGCCACATCTGGAGGATCAACAGGATTGTGCTGGGCATGCACAGTCTGTGTTCCTGGTGCAAACAGTAAGCACCAAGTCAGAACAGGTAGGAAGTGCTATCTTCCCTCACTGGGGGCAAGAATGGGAGTGAAGACTTCTGGACAAGGAAGGGAGGACAGTGTGCAGACAAGTGCTGCCCATCCATATGGAGTTGCTGCTGCTTTAGCCACAGGAGCTTTCACCATTGTGACAGCATGGGGGAACCCAGGGAAGTGCTGGTACAGTAGAGGTACAGCTTCAGGCTGACTCCCCAGCTCCTTTGCAGCCTTGCTGGTGGGGCTAGTCAGGAAGCTGAGGACAACTTCAAGACACTTGCAAGTTCCTGAATCCATGTGGAATGAGCACCTCAGGGATGAAGATGCCTTTGGGAAGCAGAGCCCCTCTGCCCAGCTGAAGACTCCGCCCTGTTGCAGGGTGGACAGCCCACTCATCCCAGATGACACTGGTAGAATGAAGCCTGCCTCTGTCAATACCCCAGCTGACCTAAAAAGCCTGACTGCTTTTGTCTTGTCTGTGCTGACACTGCCCATCAGTGCTTCCTCAGCTCCTCCATGTCTCCCCTTTGCAAACTGCATGCTTCCAGAAACAGCAGCCCCTGAGTGGGACCTCCCCCTTTTCACTCACAACTTGCTTGGCAAGGAAAAAGTGGGTTAAGAAGAAGTTGCATGAAAGGTACAGCAGCATCTCTTACAGTTTCTTTCCCTCTGTGTTTCCTCAGCGCCAGACAAGGCTCAATGAAAGCTGTCAGGTTTCTCAAACTTTTCTGAGAATCTGACCTGCAGGAGCTTGCAAAGGGAAGTGGCATGGAGACCTGTGGAGGAAGGCTTGGAGAAACACAGCAACCCAAACTAGGACTGATATCTGAACATATGTGTATTTATCTATCAGGTGGGGACTTGCAGATCTATTATGTAACAACACAGTTCTTGCTAATGATTCATTCTTGCATGCTGTTCATCATATCTTCATTTCCCACCCTGTGAGTAT